CCTTACCCCTAGACCATGTGGAGAAGAGTGTGCGCACCACACAGAAACTCCCAAACCACATGTGTCTATGGCGGAGGTTGCTGGCCAGTGCCTAGACAGCTTTCGAGAGACTGCTTGTGTTAGAGTCTCTCTAGGTACTTCCCTCAGAGACGTGGCAGAATAATTGAAGGAAAGAATGCCTGCCTGGGCCAAGATGAAGAAGGATGCGAAAGGACAACTAGTTTTCGTAGATGTAGAGGTCTTTAGAGGTAGAGTAGGGGCCCTTATAGTCAATCGGGCCACCCGCAGCTATATGAGTAGGAAAGCATTGCAGAAGCTCAAGTTAAACCTGAAAGTCCAGAAGTTAGAAGACCCTATAGTTAGTATCCTCGCAGACAATCGCACTATGCGAATCGAGGATTACGTAGAGGGAGTCCAGGCGTACTTTCACCAAGAAAAGGATGGGAAGGTGGAGAAAGTTCTCCATTCCCTGACTCTCCTCGTAGAGGACAACCTTCCTTTCGACATGGTCCTAGGAATGGACTGGGGAGAGGCAACAGGGGTCACACTCCACTTGAGAGAGCACGAGTGTAGGCTCCCTAGTCCCTCAGGCGAAGTTAAGACTGCTCGCCTGTTCCATGTGTCAGAAGTAAACTACTCCTTAGCACATTGTTGTCTCAATGCTCCTGCATTCGCACGATTAGTGAGGAAGGAGCAACTAGAAGAGCAGGTTTTTGTAGCCTATGTTAGGCCTGTTACTGAGCCTAAGGAAGAGAAGCCTATGGAGCCAATCATTGCCAAGCTGCTGGGGGAGTATACGAATTTAGCTCAGCCACCAGCAACAGTGGTGTCGCGACCCATCCAGCATCGCATTGAGATAGAGCCTGGCATTAGAACTCCGAAGGGGCCGTATATAGAATGTCCTCACGAGAATTAGAGGAACTGCGTAAACAGTTAGATGAGCTCCTAGAAAAGGGTTGGATCAGGCCCAGTTCATCTCCGTTTGCTTAGAATGTGTATAGACTATAGGGGTCTCAATGTCGTCACAGTGAAGAATGCAGAACCACTGCCCCGCATAGATGATCTGTTGGACCGGGTGTAGGGCTGCAAATACTTCTCTAAAATAGATTTGAAATCAGGCTATCACCGGATAGAAGTCCATCCTGATGATCAGTACAAGACGACATTCAGGACTAGATATGGGCATTATGAGTTTATAGTGATGCCCTTTGGACTAACCAATGCGCCAGCTACTTTTCAGCGTTGCATGAACGATTTGTTTAGGTCATGGTTAGATAGATGATATTTTAATTTTTTGTAAGACCTTTCAGGAGCATGAGGGCCATCTGCGGCAGGTCTTGGAGAAGCTAAGAGAAGCTAACTTCAAGATTAACGCGAAGAAGTGTGAGTGGGCCAAGACGCAAGTTTTGTATTTGGGCCACATCTTAGATGGGGATGGCATAAACCCCGACGATAGCAAGATAGCAACGATCAGAGATTGGCCAACACCCCGCACATTGACAGAGTTGCGGTCGTTTCTAGGCCTAGCAAATTAGTACAGGACGTTCGTGAGGAATTTTTCTACCATCGCTGCACCCCTTCGCAGGTTGCTAAAGAACGAAGCAATCATGGAGTGGGATAGAGATTATACATCGGCCCTGGAGAAGTTGAAGTGGGCCTTGATAGAGTATCCAGTCCTCAAGGTAGCCAATCCATCCTTGCCTTTTGTCGTCACTACTGACGCAAGTCAGTATGGTATAGGTGTTGTTCTACAGCAAGATGGTGGCAATGGCTATAGGCCCGTAGAGTTCATGTCTGCTAGGATGCCTTCAGGGAAGGTTGTGACATCTACCTACAAGAGGGAACTCTACGCTCTCAGGTAAGCTTTAGACCACTGGAAACATTATTTGCTTGGGAGGCACTTCAAAGTGTATTCAGACCACGAGACATTGAGGTGGCTGAAGACACAGGCCAAGATGACACCTAAGCTTACGTGGTGGGCTGCAGAGATAGATCAATTTGACTTTGAGCTCAAGCCGGTTAAAGGGAAGTATAATGTAGTTGCGGATGCTCTAAGTAGAAAAGTTGATTACTTTGGAGCGATAGTTCACTATTTGGATATAGGGAGAGATCTGCAACAAAAAGTCAAAGAGGCATATGCGCATGACTCTATTTACAGTGATTTCCTCAAGAGAGTTAGGACGTCTCCAGAGTCTGAGACAGATTACTGCACTACAGATGGGTTACTATTTGAGAAGACTTACGTAGCTGACCGTTTGTGCGTTCCCGATAGTGAAGAGATCCGTAGTCTGATCTTAGGGGAATGCCACGACACAGAGGGACATTTTGGTTCGCAAGCCAACCTCATGCGCGCGTATACATGGCCAGGTATGAAGGCCGACTGCATAGAGTATGTACGCAGTTGCAAAGTCTGCCAACAGAATAAGACCACTACGCGGGCCCCTCTTGGTCTTCTCAGACCCTTGCCTATTCCCACAGGACCCAGAGATTCTGTGTCCATTGACTTTATGGATGTTGGGGTCAAAAGTAGGCATGGCAAGAGCCAAGTCATGGTTATAGTTGATAGATTGAGCAAATACGCTGTTTTTGTTCATTTGCCCGCAGAGGCACGTACAGACTTAATTATAGATAAGTTCTTTGATCATTGGGTAAGTGAGCATGGTCTCTCGCTGTCAATAGTTAGTGACATAGATACCAGGTTCACTAGTCAGAACTGGCAGGAGTTAATGAGCGTCTATGGCTCTAGGTTGTTGATGTCATCTGGCCGTCATCCTGAGACCAACGGTCAGACTGAACAGATGAACAAATCCTGCAGCAAGTTCTCATAATGTATATTAGACCCGATCAGCTTAACTGGGATGAGATGCTTCCCAAGGTAGGCAACGCATACAATAATAGCGTGCATTTAGCGACTTGCCGCACTCCCAGCGAGTTACATTACTCCTTTAGACCGCGTAGACCGTTTGAGAGACTGGACCGGGATCAGATTCAAAGGCTACCACCCGGTACTAGGGAGTTTGCACTACACTATGAAAAGGAGATTGCTACCGTCACAGAGAACCTCAGGAAGGCCCAGCATAAAATGATAGAGAAAGCCAATAAGCACCATCGCCCGTCACACTTTCAAGTAGGCGACTTAGTCTGGGTCAAGTCCAAAGAGTTTGCTCCTGAGGAGAACATCTCGCAGAAGTTACTGCCTGCATACCGAGGACCGTGGCCAGTCTTAGAAGTCAAGGGCGGAGAGGATGGACCGTCCTACACAGTCGAGATTCCAGCACACCTCCACGCCTACCCGGTGTTTCATGCGTCAAAGTTGCTGCCTTGTACCACAAGTCAACAGTTTCCATCACGGAGGTCCATGATCCCTCCGGACATGGATGGGAGGTACGACATTGACGGCATCGTAGGTGAAGATGTCTTCAGAACAGGAGGTAGGGGTCGTCCACAGAAACAGTATAAGGTCAGGTTCGCTTTTCAGGAACCAGAGGAAGACCGCTGGTTTACACTACAGAACTGCTTGAGACCGCTCCCCATGTAGTTCACACCTATGAGAGAGAGAAGAAAGATAAAGGTCCAGCCTTAGACTGAAGTATTCTCGGAGGACCTCAAATTTAGGGTGGCGGGAGTGAAACGGTTTTCACCTTTTTGCAGACACAGATGCGGATCTCAGGGCTCGATCCCCAGACCTCACCTTACCTTACCTTACCTCTGTACAGTGTCAAGTCGACCCTGTGTCTCTTGAACCCGTGACCTGTGTGTTAGTAGTTGAAAGTTGTCTGTCGTAGGTCTGAGTAGCTGTCGGGTCTTGAACCTTAGACCTGTCGAAGTAGGGGTCATAGTTGTTGTAGTTCTGAAAGGTCAAGATCGTAGCTGATACAGTCCTGAAAGGTCAAGGCCATAGCTGCTACAGTCCTGAAAGGCCAAGTCCGCGAACTTCCGAAAGGCCCGGAAGTGGCCTTTCAAGTTTCTTCTCACGTTACCCACAGTAGACCAGAGGCAAGTGGGCAAGTGGTGAGTCCAACTTCGGTTAGTCAGCGGTACCCAGTCCCAGTCTCACTTTGTACAGTCAGCAAGTACCATGAGGGACTGTGTGCACCATGGGCCCGGTGGAAAAGGGCAGACCAGCGACTTACAGAAGTATAAATCGAGGGCCAGCGTCCAGCCATTCATTCATTCCCGCGTAAGCCATGCGGAAGCGCTGCTCTAGTGTCTTGTGCGAGGTGGTCTGCAGAGGCCTGAAGTCGAAGTGGGCTGAGGAGGAGATAGTGCGCCATAGTTAGTAGTAGCTGGTGGCCATAGCCACCATAGCTAGTGATAGGTGTTAGTGTGTGTGTGAGCGAGTGTGATACAGTGGACGTGTCTGGGATATTCAGGGTGATCCAGAGTTGAGTGTGAGTGAACAGTAGCTGTGGGCACAGTGTTGAGAGTGGGATGTACAGGCGCTCATGCGCCATAGCCTGTTGAAGCCAGTTTGCATCTGAACTGTGATCTCGGTTTCCATATCTCGAAGGTTTGAGTGGGCGCTGTGGCGCCAGTGTGTTTTGTCATTTGTTGCATGCATGTGAGTTGAAGAAGAGAGTGAGTCTGATTGCATTGCCGTGGATATTCAGTTTCTGCGCTCGCTAAGGTGCGTCCTAATTGCCAAATTGCAGAAAAGCAAAAGAAGAAGACAGGCTGAAATGGAAGTTGCAGAGCTACCCTTGCAACTTCTAACTATGGCACTGATTTCAAAAAGTTTCAAACATGAGGGGCCACCTAATCACTGAGCCCCCTAAAGTTACATGGAGGTCAGTATGAGGCCTTTTCTCAGACTGCATAAAAAATTGTGTGTTGCAGATCCTCATTCGTCACAAACGTGCAGACATCCTAACTTGAATGAAAATAATGTGCGAAGGACTGGCAATGTAAGCCTTGTTGATATTGTTTACATTTTCATGTAGAATCTAACGCACAAGTGCGCAAAGTCGTCCAATTAATATTGTTGTGATGTGACTGAGCAGGTATAAAGAGGCTTCATCACCTAAGAAACAAGTTTCAGTGCTCGTTGACTTAAGCAACGCTATTGGAGCAGGAGTTGCAAATGGTGGGGCTGACGTCGTGAGGCCAAGAATTAAGGTCATCAAGTACACTCTTCAAGAACTTGCCAAGACCTTCAAAGACGATGACGAGGTGTTCATTACCACATTTCCCCCTTGCAAGGTTTCAGAACAGGTATAAGCGTCGCACCAGTGTAATGTTGTGTGTGGATGTCAAGATGTGGCTACTTTTTATTGTGCTCTCTTACTCTTTGTTTTTGTTTTTTTCTTTGAAACAGAACCTGAAGGTTCTGGCTCCTTTTCCATTCTGGAGAGCATTAGTCCGGTTCCTATTCCCCCGGCAAGTCAAGAACACTACAATGGTTACCCACTCACGCTCCTCCCCCTTATGGCGTGGAGGCCCTGAAGACGGCATTGATTATTTCCTTGTAGAAGGATGTACCGATTTTCACCCCTATCTTAGTTAGCCCGTTCTGAACTGTTGTTGACCTTGGTGACTATAACTGTTTGCTGCTTGTATTTGCTGGAAAAAGTCATGTGTTATGATCCTGGTCAATTTCGAGATACACATTCATCAGATAGTATAATGCCGTCCAATTGCAGAAAGAAATGAATGAACTTGAGAGGAGAGAGAGGGCAAGAAGAAGAAGAAGAAGAAGGTAGAAAGAAGAAGAAGATGATGTACACCAGCATAGACAAATGATAAAGCTCTTCTTCTTCGCCAAACACTCTCCTCCTCCCTTACTTCTCCTCTCTTATTCACACAAGAAATAATAGTACAATGTTGAATGGCTGAACCAGAATCAATGTCTGAATCCCTCTTCTACTGCAGGTATCACTTGAGGTCCACCATAGCCATGGCCGCCTCCCTCACTCTTCAACCCTGGGCCTTGCCCTGATGCCCGAAGGACAACTTAAAGCAGCTATGGCTGCTGCAGCTCAGGCCGCCATGCCTGACTCTGCTTCAAAGCTTCTTGGTGTAGCTCTACCCCAGCTGGGGTCTTCCTGCTGCAGCGCCCACCAAGGTGATGAAGATGGCTGCCACCATAGCCAGGTAAGTACCTTAGGCGCTCCCCCTTCCACCTGCTCTTCTTCCTCCTTCGTGTCCTTGCTCCTTCCGCAGCAGCGCTGCTCCAATCTAGCGCTGCTCCAGCCAGCGCTCCAACCAGTGTGTCGCCAAACTTGGACACCGACAATGAGACTGGGCTCTTCGCCCGGCCTGGAGATATAGCGGCCTGCTTGCCTCTTGGGCGGTGACTTCCAGGCCGCTTGGCCTTCCGAGCAACCGGTACCTCCTCCATCTCGGAGGGAAACATCATTGCAGACTCTGATATTACCCATACAGGCCCTAGACTCAGACTGGTTGGACTGGTACCCGCCTAGACCTAGCCTACAACTACTGGGCCTCTCAAAATGCCACTTTTGTCTTCTTATGCTCGGCCTCCAGTACCCGGCACATCTACCTCTTCAGGGTGTGGTACCGGCCTACCTGCTACTTGAGTGTTTCCCCTCTGCTTCAAGTGTTGCGGGCCTCTTCCCCCGCCACTTGAGTGTTTCCCCACTGCAGACCTCAATGTCACGGCCACAGGTAAGTACCGGCCATGAGGGCCCAACAAACAAACAAGTGCTCTTGCGGGTCACACACACACTCAAGCCAACCAGCACTCAGACAGTCATGCAGACCAGCAAGCGTGCACACACAAAGACATGCAGAACTTAGCAGCAAGTGGGAAACTCAGCAAGGCATTCAGTCCATGAGCAAAACTCATAAATCAATTGTGTGTCTCAATCCATGTTTGGTCGGGTCATCACACTACCCCCCCCTTAAGAGCGAGGTCCCTTCAAGCGAGTAACTCAATCTGAGTCCCCGACAAACTCATCATAAGAAAATAAGGCAGAGAGATTTCGAGAGTATCCTGTCGCAGTGAGCTTTGCAAAGATTTTGGGAACAACATTAGAGGCGATTTGTCGTTCGTAGGCTTTAACAACGCGAGGTGTGCTGCGCAGCAGTTCCTTCTTGGAGATCCAGTAGTGATCGTCCAATGGGTGATACATGAAGTGAGATTAGTACTAGCCGCAAAAGTAGATGGCACATGAGTAGGGCGAACATACGCAACATACATTTGTTCGTCCTCTTTGTGCTTGTGCCACCTTTTGCAGAACTGCATGGCATTGAAAAAAGTCACTGGGGACTCGTGCTTCTCATCCAAGAGGACGGGAAGCTCGTTCCCTTGAGCATCTTTGACCATGAAAAGGGACTCCTTCCACTTGCTCCATTCGCATTGGGACTGCAGCCAACCCAAGCCAAGGACTGCGTCGAAGGGACACTTGTCAAGGACATAGAAGTTCAGTGCGTGGGTGATTGTTTTGTCCTTGTCAGAGGTAGTGCGCACACCTTTGACTACATGCGTAGATGAGACAACTTCCTTGTTGCCTACTTGAGTTCGGCAAGGTTTCTGCAAAGTCACTTGCTTCATCCCCAAGCCCACTTTGCGTATCCCGTGTAGTGACATAAAGTTAGTTATCGCACCACAATCAATCAAGACACGGGGTGGTGGTTTATGAGAAGCTTGAAGAAGATTAACTTCACTGTCCCTTGAGCACGCAGATGTTTTATCTCAGCCCAGTGCTCTAAGTGATAGTGGAAGTCAACCATCTCAAACTCCTCCCAAGGCTCAACATACGAAGCATGGCTAACTTCAGCCTTGGAAACAGCAGATGACGAGGCTTCAAGAGAGGACTGTTGAACTGCATCAGATTCAATCTCCCTTGCCGTAGAGGGTGTTGATGCCAACTCTACGCCCGATTCTGGTTTCCCTGCAACCTATAGCAATCTTGTACCTTATGGTTCGTTTTCAGGCAATGCAGGCAACCTCCCTTCTTCATTCTAGCCTTCCATTCAGCCTCACTGATCCGGAGGCCCACCCAAGGCTTAGTGCTTGCATCCTCCAGTTTGGCTGGGATTTTGGCTCCCTTGCAACAAAGCTCCTTACTGAATTCCTGTTCTGGTTTCCCTTCCCATTGGCAGTCGTTGTAAATACACAAAATTGATCATCATCATTATTCATGTCAATTTCTTGAGTTGAAGAGCAGGCTGTATCAGCGTTCTGCTCTTGGTCGTCGCCAAGAGTGGGGTCGTTCACTTCGGCCTCCCCTTCCCCTTCCAGCAAGTCAAGCGAAGTTAAGCAATTGCTGCCACGAAATCGTCCACGAACAAAGGTTTTTTTGCTGCTTGTTGCGGTAAGGAGGTCTCTTGCCTCCAGACTGACTACATCCTTCATTAAACCACCAGTACTTGGCCCATACATGGGCCGCGGGCCTTCCCCGTTAACGCGCCGCAGTTTTTGGGGCTCAAGGAAGACCTGACAGTGCAATGGAGGAGGACGTGCGTGGGCCCACAAAAACGGGGCAAATGGACTGTAAGATGTCCTGGAGCTGTGCTATGTGGAATTGTTCGGAAGCTGAAGGCAACGAGGGGGAAAAGAGAAAAAAAGGAACTGTAACACGAAAAGGAAAAAAAAAAACAGATCGTTGCTTTTCTTTCTTCTTTTTTTTTTTGGAAGAAAACTGGTTTTTCGTGAGTGTCTGCCAACCCTGTAAGGTTAGCACTTTTTAGAATGTATCCGGTTGTACTTGTGAACACAGTGGATGGGTCTGAGGGCTTGGTATCTCTTTTGCCCTTTGTTTTTTTTTTTGGTTTTTTTTTTTTGAAGCAGTATCTCGGCTGTTTGTGTTTCTGCTCCCCGTGAGACACGAGGAACATTCAATGCTTGCCAATGGTTCCAAGTCCACAGCGTCACTGTGACATAACACCTTCCAGAATGTATCTGGTTGCACTTCAGTGCAGCAGAGGATGTATTTGAGGGCATTCACGTTCAGAGCTTGGTACCTCTTCTCCCCTTTGTTTTTTTTTGTTTTTTTTGTTTTTTGTTTTTGTTTTGTTTTTTTGGAAGCAGTATCACGACTGTTTGTGCTTCTGCTCCCGTGAGAGACGAGGAGCATTCAATGCGTGCCAACCGTTTCAATTCCAGGGCTTCACTTGACATAGCACTTTCCATAATGTATTTGGTTGCACTTCGTTGCAGCAGCGGATGTATCTGAGGGCAATCGCGTTCAGAGCTTGGTACCTTTTTTCCCCTTTTTTTTTTTTTTTTTTTTTTTTTTTCCTTTTCAAGATTCTCGGCTGTTTGTGATTAGGCGGGGAGCATTCAACGAGATCTTTCCAGATGGATCTGGATGCACTTCTGCCCAGGCCATTCATGTACATGACTGGAAACAAGAAAACCATAGCCGCTTTACATTCCAGCAGCTGAAGCCGAACCTGAATATGCCCTGCTAGGGACGTAGGCGTGCAGACTTAGCCACATCAGTTCGCTCGTGCTCTTTCCACATCAGTGCGATAGCGTCTGGCAAACTCTGCGGTGCGGTGTCTGGTGTCAAGCTAAAGCGTTCTTCCAGGGCCTGCAGAAGGTTGTCCACCCCCAATCCCAAAGCCCAGTCCTCCATAGATTTCTGCAGACCGCTGGAGGTAGAGGTAGCCCACTTTTGAGCAGGCCCCTCTAGCAGTCCCAGAACCGTAGCCACTTTTGTCTGTTCTGGGCATATAAAGCCCCCCAAGTAAGCCCTGGTCCCTGCAGCCCAGTCCCCAACATCAGTCTTGGGGTCATCCCCTCTGAACTTGTTGGGGGCAGGGATCTCGGGACCTCTCTGATCCCCTGCAACAACAACTGCAAAAGTGGGTTTGGCTGTGGCCTTTTGGGAGGGAGGTGGTGAGGGGGAAGAATGACGTGAATTGGGAGTAGAGGATGGAGAGGAAGGAGGAGGTTTGGGTTTGAGTAGAGGGGACAGAGGAACAATCAGCTTGGCTGTTGTCATCTGAGCAGTTAAGGACTAAATTGCATCCAGTATCCTTGACTGCTGAGCCGCCAGAAACCCGACGCTCTAAACGGTCCAGGTGATCGTCCCAGTTAGTGAAATAAGAACTAGTGGCTTTGTGTTCCAAAATGGCCCACTCCGCCAAGTTCTTATTCACTTGGGAACAGCGATCATCTGTCAGGACCTTGTCTAGCTGCTCCAACAGGTACTCCCTGCGAGAAGTATCTGTTGTAGCCTCTAGCTCAGCCGCCTCCTGTCTCTCAAGCTCTCCTAGCAGCGCCTGCTGCTGCTGCAGCCTATCCTGCAACTCCTCCTTTTTCTGCCGAGTAGCAGTCAGAGGTGCAGTAGGGGTGGAGGTCGAAGGCTGTTGACCTTCTACCTTCATCACTACTTCCACCTGTGGCTGCTGCTGAGCCTCCCCGTTCGCCAAAACAAAAGAACAGACAGACAACAGAGAGTATGCAGCGATATACAGATTCCTACAGACACTCAGAAATCGTTGCTATCTCATACACAGAAGTCAGGTGGGTGAACAGGCAACAAGCGATTTGGGTTGGAACAGTCTCTCTGGGGTCAAAGGTCAGACAGACAGTTAGTCCAGTAAAATCAATCACACGATTTCTTTTTACTGACCCTGCACCACACTGGAGTTAGCATAAACCACTTCAGTAGTTCCAGAGATACCCTAGATTTCCAGAGCCCACTAAAAAACAAGAGTAGTCAGTAGGAATGAAAGAAGATGGCAAGTACAGACAAGAATGATCAACCAGGCAAAGCGATTCAGTCAGGGACCCTAAATCCTAGCCCAGACTCCAATTTCGGCCCTGATGACTCTGGCAGCCATACCCTAGGGTATGGCGAAGTATATACTAGATATCCAATTAAGCGCCTTTGCACTATTGACAATTTCTGAATTGCGATTGACTGACAACTGACAGAATTGAATTCTGACGGACAAAATTGAAGTTGTGACTAACCCTAGTTAGCACAGGCTATAATTAGACTCAACGCAAAACTACAATTCACAGTATCCCTACTATTCCTGTACAGAATTCCCAGTTTGAGCATCCAAAATCAAGCGCAATACAATCAGACAGTCACAAAACAACTTTGGATAGAAAAGAGTCCACAGAGGGTAAGAAACGAGCAAAAGGAGGTAGGAGAGTGATGGCTATGGTTGTCATGCAGTCTGCGACTTTCAATTTCAGTCACTGACAGACAGATTGACCATCAATACTAATTATTCTAACCCTATCTGAATCGCTATATAGGGATGTGCATGGAACGGACTCACTTTCAGAGTTTCTTGCAGAGCTCTATGAAGATCTGGCTATGGTAGACTGAAACCCTCATCTTGCCAATTTCTTTCAGAAATTCCTCCTCTGTCTTCCACGCACATAATCTCTTCAAACTTGTTGATCCTCTTCGGGATCCTGGTGCGCTACAACCCCTCTAATCAGATACACCGGATCTGACCCTGTGGCGCCCAGAGTGCCAACAAGAAATTATTTCGCCACAGGACCTCTCAGCCGCTGATGCGATAATTAGCCTCAGATGAGGTTAATTTCACCTGCGATTGACACAGACTGTCAATCTCCCTCAGCGCTGCTCAGGGTTGAAGCCGCTCAGAGGATTCTGAAGTCCTCAGGGGCAATTCGCCACTCTGAGGCAATTCGCAATACTGCCCTCAGGGTTGGCTATGGCGAATTAGCCCTGTTCTCGCCACTTCCTTGCAAGCGCCCTGACAGGCTCAGTGCGCTTGTTCAATACAACCACTGAACTCCTGAATTCACCGCTTGAAATCTTCTTCCCTGTTGTCTCAGTACTCGAGAAGATGAATCGCCATGAAGCTTCTCGTCGGTAGTTCGCCAGATGAAGAAGATGCCTCTATTGCACTCAACCCTCAGTGCTCCAATTCCAATCCAGCTCCGATACCAACTGTTATGAACTTSGTTGTCTGACGATTTTTACCGCCACTCACAAACAGACAGTCTCATACACGCCCATCCATGCATAAGAGAAGGGGGAGAGGAGACAGAGTCCAAACTGTACAAAGATCAGAGTAGACAGCGAAAGTTCAACCATGCACAGATGGGGAAAAGACACCCTGGGCTTCTCACTCTCTGACAGACTCCCAACAACCAATCACACGAAGACACCTGCGAGGATAACAATTGGAATTCACACTGATGATGAGCCAACTCAAACCAAATATCGTTACAGAGTTTGTTCCAGTATCTCGCTACTTTCAGAACCCCACACTCCACTCTCTACACTACACCCAGTTAGTAGCGCAACACGGGAATGGGCTCCCAGAGGCCAGCGCCAACCACCCAGATGAAGAACAGATCCTGCGATAAAGTCTTCAGTGCCGATGAACCACTCTGACGAAGAAACAGGCAGCTATGGCTTCCGCCACCCACGAATACTCAGTGAGGAGCCTCTATATAGCCCGGCCAGGCGCAGATACCCTTGGGGGTAGATGCGCTGAGGATGCCCCAGCTTTCTGAAGGCCGGCTATGGCTGCCGTTCACGGCGAGGGTCTCAGGATGCCGCCTGTAGACAATCGTCACCGCCAGGTTGTTGGCTTCTCGAAAACGCTGCTTCGCAAGAATGAACAGCCAAAAGCCCTGGATCGATTTTCCTAATCTATTAATAGATCTCTACTACCCTAGCCTATACCTAGACCAGACTGTCTAGACCTCCAGGCCTCTCCCTACCCGGCTATAGGCTATAGGACCGTCTATCGGTATAGGCCCTTCGGGCCTGTCCGTCCTAGGGCTAGTCCGGGTCTGCTATACGCAGTGAGGGTAGCTGTAGGAAATTCGATATAGTGCTGGGCCTATATTTCCCATATTTGCAGATATGTCCCTCATGAATTTTCCTTACAGGTAGGTCTCTCGGTTAGCCCTCAGCCAAACAAAATTACGATTCTAACCTACTGCTGTTACTGTACAGCCTCGCAGTCAGTCTCGGCAGTCAAAATCAGCAAGTCATTGCAGGGGACCTGCGCTGTACTCTGACAGCACGCGGGGCTGTACAGAGGTCTGGGCTATTCGAGGTCTGCTGGACGCGAGAGAAGTTGGTGCCCCTGCTGGACCCTCCTCCGGAGTGGGGTCACAGGGTTGTGGCGCTGCAGCCATAGCTGCAGCTTCATCCTCAGAGGTCATCTTGTCAGGAGTGGTGGCGCTGCTGCAGACTTCTACCCGGGAAGTCTTCCGACACTTCGTCATCATCAGATACTGTGGCGCTGGTCTTCTTCTTCATCCTCTGAGTGGCGCTTGGCCTCAGAGGCCTGTTTCAGGGTGGCGCGGCCGTCTGGAGGCAGTACTTTGGTGGTGCTTGATGTTTCAGGGGCTCGGGGGTGTTACGAGTGGTTACTCAGGGTTGGGGAGTGAAGCAAAAATGAGCAGCGCACTGTAGTTCTGAGGTTATTCTGACAATTTGAGACTCTGAGTGTAATAAACAGTGTGATACTGGGTTTGGACTATCATCGTTTCATTGTTTTCCCGGATGTGATCTACTCGGCTTTTCTTTATGACTGGTTGTGAGGATTGAGCGGAGTGAATTGCACTTTCAGTGTACCCTGTCATATCGCATGGTCAAGTCTTCCGCTGTGTTTATCTCTCCCTGTGCGGTGTGATACTCCCATCTTCTCCCCTTCCTTCTGTGTATGTATGGGCATACCTTTGAGTCTATGCGAGTGAGTGTTGGTCTTCAGACAACAGACAACCAGAATCATAACACACCGAGAGAGGGGGAGTTGGGTATATACCTGCCATCGGGTCGTTGTGTTGGATCGCGGCCAGGTACGCTGAACATCTGAACTCTGCAATTGTATTATATCATAATTTTGATTGGAAATTCAATTGGCACTGTTTCATATGTCGGCTTTCAGTTTAGTGTGAACTTTCTTCTGAATGTTTGCTACTTGCATGTGTCCTGAGTTGGATTTTTCGAGTTTCATTGCACATCAATGCTGAGTGGTGCATGGACTTGAAATTTGAACTTCCACGGAGCAAAACTGGAGCATCATAGCAGAAACCCTTTTCCCACATCCTTTCGTTTTCTTACGCTCTCCTCTGTTTTGCGTTCCCTCAGGCTTTTCTATTTGAATTTTCCTATCTTTGCCAGTGCACGCACGCAAGAGAGAGAGAGAGAGAGAGAGAGAGAGAGAGAGAGAGAGAGAGAGAGAGAGAGAGAGAGAGAGAGAGAGAGAGAGAGAGAGA